TACCTTAGGGGTCTCAGGAAAATGTCTTCGGTTTCACAATCTAAATATTGTACTTGACTCATTCTTTCTCTGAGCCATTTCTTAAACCCATTTACTGTTTACTATATATGTGTACTTGAAATCATAACGACTGACTTTTTACTATTCTGGATGTTCTAGCAAACAAAGGGGGGGGCTCTATTCAGAATCTTGCATTTTTTAGAGGCTATTGAATTAAAATATTGTCTTGTCTGGGACCCAACTTTTCTAGGTCGTATCTTCTTCCTTGAGGCCCTATGACACTTGAATCTCTTTACTAAACATGGAGGTCGACCTCAGTCATCAAATCTGAGATGTAGTGTGTGTATTGCTTATAAGAGCAGCAGAGTTGGTGAGGACCATGGCCCCAGGTCAGAAAAATCCTGGCTGAATAAGATTAGTAAGAGGACAATGCCTACTGGAAACATTCTGCCACAGACTTCAGATTATATGTGTAGAAATGAAATGCATATCTGTAAGTGGAGCATGTCCTCTAGACCCAACGTCTGGTTTACTCTTTCCTAACCTTAGGAATTTGGACTGAACAGAACCCACCACTACGTGATTCCTTTCCTCAAAATTTCATGAATTTCGTTTGGATGTTGCACTGATTCACAGAACCCACAAACTTGAGAGAATCTTCTCAAAGCGGAGTGGGTAGAAATTGGAACTGAATGGCTTCATAGAAGAGTTGGCCCTTTTGGACATTATCAATCCCAACTCCTTGGGACAAATCTAATATTCATGCTTCTCAAAGATGCTACTCCCACACAAGGAAAACTACTAAAGGACTAGGAGTAGGTTAATTAAGAGGTGTCAGGGTATACAGGGAAATGAAAGGGCCGTGGAGATCGCGAGGTCTGAAGGTGTCTTGCGGTCCATTTGATGGTTTCAACAAACTGTATCCTGCCACTCGCTGGGGCACAGTTCATATAGGAGTCCAAGGCAGGGCAGTAGCAATGTGGGACTGGAGGAAGAGAACACTAGGTTCAGAAATTCTGGGCATTCTTTGACCTTTCCCATGCACTTCTTGAGGAAAGCTTTCTTCTATTATTGAGTAACATGGCTAAGAGTTCAAACAAAGAGTTACCCTATCATGGGCTCAGCAGAAGAGGGGAGTCTGGTCTCTATCACTTTCTGCTTATAAGGACAGGGCTCCCTCATATGAAAATTATTCTTCAGGCACTAGAGTAAAATTTCACAATTGGGCTGGGAAAGCAATCAGTTCTCGCAGACAGGGGTGTAGGTCCCTTGGGAAAGCAGAGCTGTGATCTAAAGATGTTATTGCTGTGTGTTCTCCTGTGCCTGGTGACAGTTCCCCAAGGTGAGAGATTCAGATATCTGCCCTGGGTCGAGGGGATGGTTGTGACCTGAAATGACTGACTGGGACCATCTGTTTTTGTTCTGTTCCAGGTGCAGCTTCAGGAGGCGGGTCCAGGACTGGTGAAGCCCTCCCAAAAGCTGTCCCTCACCTGCTGTGTCTCTGGTTACTCCATCACCAGTGGTTACTGCTGGAGCTGAATCTGCCAGCCCTCATGGAAGGGGCTGCAGTGGATGGGATGCATAGATTATGATGGTGATACATATTATAACTCGTCCTTCCAAAGCAGACTCTCCATCACCAGAGACACATCGAAGAATCAGTTCTCCCTGCAGCTGAGCTCCGTGACTGCTGAGGACACGGCCGTGTATTACTGTGCAAGGAGCACAGTGAGGGGAAGTCAGTGAGCCCAGACACAAACCTACCCTGCAGGGAAGACACTGGACAGCAGGGGGCGCTCAGGACCCACAGAGCACAGACACCAGCCCTAGACAGGCACAGATGGACGACAGGGAGGATTTCCTGTTGGAATGAGGGCTTCCTCTCTTACATCTCAGCCTCCCTTAGGACAGTTTTTCCTTTTGTTATCTTTTTTGTTTATATTATATTGGGATGGAAAGTGCAAGGTCAGCAGTTTGAAATCACCGGTTCCTCCAAGGGAGAAAGATGGGGCTGTTTGGTCCCCCAAATGGTTAATAGTGTCTGAAATCCTACGAGCAGTTCTACTCTGTTCTGAAGGGTCACTGTCATTTGGGATTCTCTTGGTGTCAATAGCTTATAGTTACCGACTTTCTGAATTTGTATCTTTTTTTGGTTGCTTATCTCCATTGATTTATTTTCTGTGTATTCTGTATTTTGTTTAATCATATTTGATATTATTATCAGGAATTGTTCTATCTTTCCCATTACCCTGTGTCTCCATAGAACTTTCTACATCGTGTATTCATTTTAATTACATCAAGGTTTTCGTGACATCTTTTATGATATTATTTATAAAATTGTTATTAACATGCTAATGGTTTTCCTTTTAAATATACTGGATAACATACCTTGGAATTATGGGACTTATTCCCAAGAATATACACGTTTCTTCCTCTTCCTGGGGGCTGCTTTCAGAGGTGAGTAGCTCTGGAATTGCAACGTGAAGTTTTTTGAATGCTTTATCTTATCACATGTCTGAGGTATGTATCTCCAGGTGTATGAATCTCCAGGTACAGGTGCAGAGATGGGACCAGGATTTGGAAAACTCACATTCATTGTCCCCCCACTTCATTCTGTCTCTAGATCCTCTGAAATGAGCTATGACTCTGGATACTATGGAGTGGTTCACAGAATATGCTCCTACTCTGATGTCCTCAGTGCACATCTAAAGGGGAGTGACCCCTTTAGAGTCAAATTCATTGAATGCTGAGTTCCATTGCTGCGCAGGCCACTGCCATGCATCACTGTGAAAGGAGGCCGGGAGAAGGCAATGTGACTCCAGAACTCCAGGTTAAGAAAGGGGTCTGAGCTCCATTGTCTTCCTGTCTGAGTATTCTTTGTTTTCCTTGAACACATTTTACATTACTTTCTAGGAGAGTTCTTTATTTTTCTATTATAATTGTCTCAAAAAACAAGTCCTCACTTTTTGTTGTTCTTTTTATTAGGTCATCTTCTGTGTGATCTTGTTTATGATACTATTTGCAACACAATGGCTGTTTCCTTGATATTTGTTCACATAATCATCACATTTAGTTTGTGTTTCATGTTTAACTTTATGGTACCCATCTCTGTGTCGAGTGTGAATCTCATGCTGATGTTGTATCAGCTATGACCCTTTTCTTACTCTTTTATATTACCCATAACTATTTTTGTGCATGGATGGACATATTCAATATGATCTTGCACATCATTACATTGTATCATGTATGATGTTTTCCCTTGCGGAATTTCTGCTAGAGCTTTATGGTCAGAGTTTATGAAAATTTAGTCAAGCAGCTCCATATGTATTTAACTATATCCAATGTCCACCACAGGTAAAATTGGTTTTTACTAAAAATACCAAAGGTCTCCGATTCCTGTATAAGACCTCATGTTTTAGTTGTATGTTTGGTTTTGTGTTCACTTGCATTCTCCCTGGAGAGAATCTCGATTTTCACTTCCCTGATACACCCTGCTCTTTTTACTTGGTGATGGTCACTAACTTGCCAGGGGTTGGGCCATGGGGCTTTTCTCTGGTGTTTTGACTGAGCCTCATTCTTAGGCAGGCATCCGGAACCTGGATCTGAGATATGGCTTTCTATCTGTTCCTTTCCTCCTGAAATGGCACTGGGCTAGCAGCTATACCTGCCCTTTCTCGTGGGACAGAGCACCTTTTCTTCCAAGTTGTTCGTTCCTTTGCTGCAGAAGGTTTTCACCAGTAACTTTAGCTAAAAATATGTATGTTCTTCCTTTTCAGATTGAAGATGTCATGCCTAAACAAAGCAAAGAGAGGTGGTTCTGGGCATAATTTCAAACTTGTTCTGACTTGTGTCTTTTAAGTATATATATTTCATTAATTCATACCTAGCTTTCAGTTATTTTGTTCTTCTTAAGGTCAGGAGAGGTGAGTTTGGATGCATCTGGGCAGTGGCTACTCTCCTGCTACCCTAGCCACCATCAAGGGAAGAGAAGGAAATCTATTATTGTTTATTGTCTACATCTTAAGGGAATGTTCGTCAATAAAAAAAGTATTATCTAACGTTTGTGGTCGTGAGAAATATTATTCACTGTAACATAGGAAACTTTAAATTATTTATTAAATGTTTCAGACTAACTTTGATACAGTTTAAATGTCAAAGATGACATCAATTCCAGCGAAGTTAAGACCTTGGTCTTGTTCCTTCCTAATGGCACCTCTCTCTCTCAAAATACTATGTTTGGTGTTGTTTTTAATAGTAGTGAGTTTACAATTGTGCTCAAGGCAAGTTTACAGAGTGGCCATATTTGTTATTGTGATGAGTGATAATAAGAATATCAATGCCCTTTTTCTTCTCTCTTTTTGTTTTCCAACCTGAATAGTAGATTTCATAATAAAAACCAGAAACTAGTAACAACTCAAATGTCCAAAAATGAATGGATAGATAAATGAGTTGTGGTACACACATGTTCATTCTCTAAGATATTATGCATTAAAATAAATTCATGCTGGCTAGATATACATTTATTGGACTATTCCCACATAAATATGTTGAGTGAAATAAGCTCAGAAATAAGCATGCATACCGTCTTAAACCATTTATACATAAATAACTTATGGTATAGGAAATAATATGAACAGGACTGTGTTTTGTGTATCACAATCACATAACAAGAAATTATTCTCAAATATTATTCCCATCAAATCCTACTAGAACAATTATTTATGTGTGCCTACCACAGTGTCATTCAGAAGGTATCCAACCCTAGATGTCGCTGTATAATAGGAGGATATATAAATAGAGTCCATCTATCTGCTGATGTAAATCATCCAAGCCCCAAACATAGAATCTGGGAGAAGATCCTCAGTCCCTTAGTCTCCAGGTATCTCCATTCAGCAATCTGTAAGAACACAGAGTCATCATGGAGTCTGTACTGAACTAGGTTTTTTCAGGCAGCAATTTTGAAAAGTAATTTTATTAAGAGCAAGTGTGTGTGAGCAGTTATGAATGTGAGCCAGTGGATATGTGTGATGGTTTTCATGAGCAGCATATACTGTGTTTGCAAGTGTCACGTGTAACCTGCAACTGGTTGAGTCAGAAGGAGATTTGAAGAAGAATAAGGTGTCTTTGAGATTCTACTGTCCAAACTCAGGATTCACTTTTACTAGCTCTGCCATGGCTCCATGCCTACAGTGGGTCTTATATATTAGTATGGTCGCTATCACATATGACACAGATTCTGTGAAGGTTGAAGAACCATCTGCAGAAACATTGCCAAGATTTGTGCATATTATTCTCTCTGCAGGTCTATCTAGATAAGATAGGTGGGATAAACAATCTGGAGGAGAAAACAACGGGACTGATGTTTCTGGGGGACATAAGGGCAGCGGGAGTCAGGGGAAAGGAAGTGGGTATTAACAAACCCAGGGACAAGGGAATAACAAGTGATCTAAAATCGATGGCAAGGAGGATGTAAGATGCCTGGTTGGTCTTGATCAAACGCAATGTAACACAGAGGAATTACTGAAACTCAAATGAAGGCTGAACATGATAGTGGGGTGAGAAGAAAGTAAAATGAAATATAAGAAAGAATTAGGAGGCAAAGAATATTTATGGAGTTCTAAATACAGACGTTTACATATGTAAATATATTTATATATGACAATGGGAAGTAGATTTATGTACATATATTTATTGGTTTACTATTAAGGTAGCAGAGAGACATTAGGCCTCTACTCAAGTACTCCCTCAACGCAAGAACATTTTGTCCTATTAACCTGGCATTCCATGATGTCTACCTTCCCGACATGGTTGCTAAAGACAAAGCTGCAACATAAACAAATGTGGTGAAAAAGCTGATGGTGCCTGGCTAACAAAAGATATAGCATCTGGGGTCTTAAAGGCTTAAAGATAAGCAAGCGGCCTTCCAGCTCAGAAGAAACAAATCCCACATGGAACTTGTGTGATCATGGGGTGTCTACAGGATCAGTTATCAGGCATGAAAGACCCAGAGCAAAAAATCATCTTGTGAATGAGGGGAGTGTTGAGTGGAGACACAAAGCCCATCTGTAGGTAATTGGACAACCCCTTACAGATGGGTCGTGGGAGGGTGGGGAGGAGATGAGCCATTTAGGATGCAGTGTAGCATCAATGAAACATAAAAATTTCCTCTAATTCATTAATGCTTCCTTCCCCGCAGTATCATGACCCTAATTCTATCTTACAAATATGGCTGGAACAGAGCATGTACATGGGTCCAGATGAGAGTTGGAAACACAGGCAATCCAGGACAGATAAATCCCTCAGGACCAATATTGAGACTATCCATACCAGGAGGGTAAGGGTAAGGTGGAGGAGAAAGGGGGAACTGAACAACACAATGAACAACATATAACCCCCTCCTAGGGGGATGGACAACAAAAACGTGAGTGAAGGGAGACATTAGTCAGTGCAAGACGTGAAAACTAATAATGCTTAAGAGTTCATGATGGAGGGAGGGTGGGAGAGGGAGAGGAAAAATAAGTAGGCAATACCAAGGGCTC